GCAAAACAACCTCGCAAGCCTCACAAGGCGATTCTGGCGAGAGAGTTGGCACCACTTGAACTCATCCATTCCGATATTTGTGAAATGAACGGAATTTTGACAAAAGGTGGTAAGAGATACTTCATAACGCTCATAGATGATTGCACTCGATATTGCTATGTGTACCTAATTAAAACAAAAGATGAGGCATTACATTATTTTAAAACCTTTAAAGTCGAGGTTGAGAATCAACTTGAAAAGAAAATCAAACGGTTGCGGTCCGATCATGGGTATTTCTCTAATGAATTTTCTCGAGTTTTGCGCGGTACTCAGAAATCCATGAGAGGACACCTCCATACTCACCACAATCCAATGGGATTGTTGAGAGAAAGAACCGCACTCTAACCGACTTGGTGAATGCCATGTTGGAGACAAATTGGTTTATCTAAGGAATGGTGGGGTGAGGCAATTTTAACTGCGAATCATGTCCTAAATAGAGTGCCCACAAAGAACAAAGAAATCACTCCATTTGAGGAATGGGAGAAAAAGAGGTTAAATATTTCTTATCTTCGCGTTTGGGGTTGTTTGGCCAAAGTGAACGTGCTAATAAACAAAAAGCGAAAGCTTGGACCAAAAACTGTAGATTGTGTTTTCCTCGGCTATGCCATTCATAGTGTGGGCTATCGGTTTTAATAATAAATTCTAGTGCTCCTGATATGGCTGTTGGAACGGTCATGGAGTCTAGAGATGCCACGTTCTTTGAGAATGAATTTCCAATGAAAATAGGTGCACCTAGCGTGTCTAGTCATGATTCTGTTCCTGAATTTCATGAATCGAATATACACGCTGATGATAACACCCATGAGCTTGAGCAAAATCCTGAGGAGGATGATAATACTATCACTCGAAGGAGTAAGAGGCAAAGAGTTGCAAAATCCTTTGGAGAAGACTTTATTATATATCTCGTGGATGACACTCCCACAACCGTTTCTGAGGCATACTCTTCTCCTGATTCTGACATGTGGAAGGAGGCAGTGCAAAGTGAGATGGACTCCATTATGTCCAATGGGACGTGGGAAGTGGTTGACCATCCATTTGGTTTTGCAAACCCGTAATGAAATGGGTGTTTAAAAAAGAAGCCGAGGCCCTGATGGTACAATTGAGAAGTACAAAGCTAGGCTTGTTGCTAAGGGTTATACATGTAAGGAAGGTGAAGACTACTTTGATACTTACTCACCGTTGCTCGATATTTATTCGTGTGTTGCTATCCCCGGCTGCCTCCTCATGATCTTTTCATTCATCGATGGATGTTAAGACAACCTTCCTAAATGGAGAGCTTGAGAAAGAGATCTACATGGATCATCCTGATGGGTTTATTGCAAATGGTCGAGGGTAAAGTTTGTAAGTTATTGAAGTCCCCAGACGGCCTAAAGCAAGCCCCCCAAGTAGTGGCATGAGAAGTTTGATAAAACTTTAACATCAACTTGTGAATGAAGTTTATAAATGTGTATATTATCGGTTTGGTGGTGGTGATGGTGTGATACTATGCCTATATGTGGATGATATATTAATATTTGGCAACAATCTAAATGTGATCAAAGAAGTAAAAGATTTTTGTCGAGTAACTTTGAGATTAAAGACTTGGGTGAGGCTGATGTTATTCTCAACATTAAGCTTTCAAGGAGGAAGGAAATGGTGGGGTAACTCTTATGCGCCTCACTATGTGGAAAAGGTCTTGAACCGATTTGGAGTATGTACGCTGCTCCTACTCCGCATACATCCAAGCGATTTGAGGAAGAATCATGAATTGCAAGAGACCAATTGAGATATTCACGATAATTGGTTCTCTCATGTACCTAGCTAGCGCAACCAGGCCCGATATCTCATTTGTCAGTAAGCAAACCGAGCCGCTTTGTGTCAAATCCGGAGATACTCAAAATGCTCTTGAGAGTGTCTTTGCGCTATTTGAAAGGAACAATGAGTTACTGCATTCACTTTTCCGCATCCCGAGGGTACTAGAGGGTTATTGTGATGCTAATTGATTTCGATGATCACCGTATGCCACGCAGTGGATACGTGTTCCTACTTAGAGGTGGTGCTATTTCTTGAAGTCTTGCAAGCGCATCTATCTTAACGAAGTCTACAATGGAAGCGTAGAATCGACCGCATTGGATACCGCTTAGTGCCGATTGGCTCCGTGATCTCCTAATGGATTTGCCATTGTTGAGAAACCAATCCCGCAATTTTCATGAACTGTGATAATCAAACCGTGATCACTAAGGTAAGCAGTTCTAAGGATAATATGAAGTCCACAAAGCATGTGAAGAGACGTTTGAAGACCGCCGAAAACTCCGAGTAATTGCATTGGACTATGTCCATACATCAAATAATCTGGCGATCAATTCACTAAGGGTCTGACGCAATGTGATAGAAGGTGCGTCGAGGAACTAGGTTTGAGACCCACATAGAGCCATCAATCAGTGGTAACTCGTCCTATGTGATCGGAGATCCTGTGAATTAGGATGGCGAAACAAGTCATTGATTGACCGAGGAGAGACCCTTAGATTATAGCTCAGGGCTGCTGGAGATGCACCGCCTCTCCAATACTCATTAGCGAGGATGATTAAGTTCTTAATGTGATCCGAGTGGCTTGGTATAGCGGGGATGTTGTCCTACGTAACATCCTATAAGGAACACACCTATATGAGCTCGATTGCTAGTCACAATCTATGAGATGTGGGTAATCTCTAGATGCTCATGAAAAGGCCTCAAGTGTGACTTATATGCTTCAAAATGGGGGAAGGCACTTGGCGCACCTAGTATCGCTTAAGAGGTTATGTGAAACTCATCTCGCACAAAAATGTCAATTCAAGCTTCATCCATTGTTTAGTTGTGGATGAGTGTAGCTAGTTTCTAGATGGATGTTCAACTTAACTTTCCATCGAAACACCGGTATATAAAAGGACTGTGGTTCGAGAACTCCAAACTACGCCCTAGAGTTTGGTGGGGATTGTTAGATATTATGGGCTTGGCCCATTTATTTAATATCTCTATTAAACTCTATGGTCCGTATTCATTAATGGTTTTATACCATATGGGAATTTAATCGAGAGGCGACTCTACTTAAATACTTGATCATTGACCATCTATTTGAGAAGTAAAAGTGAATCACCTGGATGCTTATGTTGTTGCACGCGTCTCTCATGACTAACAAAGGCCTTTATTTTGTCACTCGGTTTCTTTGATGGAATTGATTGGAGAAGTTTCGTTAACTCCTGTGACGAATTGATTGGAGGAGTTTCTCTCCGTGACTTCGCACTCTCCGTCCGCCTCTCCGCCCGCAGGGGAGGTGTGACCCCGGTGCCGCCGGCCTTCTCCTCTTCGGCCTCCGCCTATAAGACAAATCTCCCCCTCTGTTAAGTTCTCTTGGCGATACACCACTTTCCAAAGCAGGTGCAAGTTTTTCCCACTCCACCTCCGGCGAGCACCGTAGATGGAAGAGTAGGCCTCCGGAACGCGTCTCCATCGTGGGCTTCACCTTGGGTGAAGACGGACGATTACGCTTTTGGGGAGTGTCGGTGGTGCCACGACTACTACTTGAACTCAGAAGCGGGCGTCTTCACAGCTGTTCTTTTCCAGACCGGCATCGATCCACAAAGAATAAAGCACCACCATGGCCTTTCCTCTGCGAGAGGCTCCAGCTCCTTCACCCTCTTCTCGAGTTTCATTATCAATATCATGATGTTCCTAGGCAATCCATATTCAAAGATGCTCTGTTTGGTTGATTTGGATGATTATGCTAGTACTTTGCTTTTTCCGGTTCCTTTTAATTTTGTGATCATCATGATCTTAATATTTGAGAACACATCTTTTATATTTATGATCATGTCTGTGATGCTTCAGCTGTGTAAAACAATGTTTCACATATGTTTCGGTTCTATAATTTGCCTTATCATCATGTTAACACTTGTCATGAATTGTTTCTGTCATTTTATTCATGACGTCACTCTTATTTTTATTGTGTCATTTTTATGGATTAAAATAAATATGAAAATGTCTTATTCTTCAACATCTAGATCCCTCCGCGGTATAGCAGGTGTTGTCTTCTTTTATTTACTATTTGCCAATTTTATTCTTCAAAAAACAAAAAAAATTAAGGATAGATTATAGATATAGTTTGAAAATTTTACATAGTTATATGATACCACCTCACCTATAGATGTTATTATTTTCAGTATGTTTTAGTAAAATATCTAGGAGTACAAATATTTTGAGTCGATTTTATGACTCAATAGAATTGAAGGTTTTCACGTGATATTTTCTTTTTAATTATGTATACTCTTTTATTGCACATATAAAAAAATTTTTTAATAAAGGAATATTACATTCCGGCCTCCAACATTCACAAATGAATGAGTATAGCCATTTAGAGCAGACTCATGATGCTTAGACCAAACTTCACCATGCGGTGACACAAAGCTAAGACATACAAAGGAACGAGACATATAAAAAATAATACAGATTTACATTATCGATCCTCGAAATTTTTTTTCTTCTAATATTGTAAATGTATCAGTAGAGTCTATTAAAAAGTCAATAGAGACATTATATACCCATGATGATTTATAGATGTGTACACAAGATGCTTTTACTATACGATGATACGGTTGAGTAGAAAACATAGCATCAACATATATGATACGGTGATATGAAAATTGAACTAAAAAAGATCACATTGATCGTAACAAAATGCAGTCACCACGAGTTCTTTTCCAAATAAATTAGACATATTACATTATTGGTAGGTTGGTATATATGCACCGGCATGCGCGTACGAATATACGCCGCCTGCGCGGGTTATTTGTCTGGACGATAATGCTTGGCTGAAGTATATATAGTGGGCTAGTGGCCTGTTAAACTTAAGAGAAGGCAGCTTAATTGTTATGCGTTGATGAAAACGATAGCTTGTAGCACGCAGAAGAAGAGGATGCCTGGAGCGATGATTGAGCGAGATGAGCTAGCTATGCCGCCTGCGTGTATGGCACGAAGCTGCGAAGCACCCATGTCGTGGATCTTGACCCGGGCTTGCCCCGCACGACGCACTGGTACAGCGCTGTGCTCCCGGTGTCTGTGTTCTTCACATTCAGCACGAGCCGGTAGTCGGTAATGCCGTTCCCTACCGGCTGGGTCTCGCCTCGCACCACGTTCACCAACTGCAGGGGCAGGTGCTTGCGGGGGTCGGCGTTGCTGTAGACGATCACGGCGAAGTTGCCCACCTGCTTTACCACCAGGGTCCCCGGGTTGGCGATCGGCGTCCAGACCGCGTCGTATGGCACGAAGCTGCGCAGCACCCATGCCGTGGATCGAGACCCGGGCTTGCCCCGCACGACGCACTGGTACAGCGCTGTGCTCCCGGTGTCTGTGTTCTTCACATTCAGCACGAGCCGGTAGTCGGTAATGCCGTTCCCTACCGGCTGGGTCTCGCCTCGCACCACGTTCACCAACTGCAGGGGCAGGTGCTTGCGGGGGTCGGCGTTGCTGTAGACGATCACGGCGAAGTTGCCCACCTGCTTTACCACCAGGGTCCCCGGGTTGGCGATCGGCGTCCAGACCGCGTCGGCCCCGTCGGGGAACGCGACGACAGCGACGAGCGCGGCCACGAGCAGTGGGAGCAGCGACCTCATGGCTTTAGCTAACTGGTGTGTACCCTAGATAGCTACTAGGAACTAAATACACTAGCCGCCGGCTTGGTTGCTGCTGTGACTGTGTGTACTTTCTCGTCTCGTGCCAGTGAGCTACGTACTTGGCCGACGTTGCCATGCACGGCGAGGAACGCAGTGGTCTTTATAGGCAGGTAAAGCGCAAGGCGACGACGCGTCCGTCTGAAGCGAAGGCCGACGCCGACGCGCGCGGCCTACAGGGAAAAAGACAGGGTTGCAGACTTGCAGGCCGGGGTCACTCCAATGTATTGTCAGTTTGTGCGCGAGCGTTGTTTACCATTGCCCATGCAAATGCATATATGCATGCGTGCTTCAGCTTGCAAGCATTGACGTCTTGACGGTTGACGCGGCCTCGAGATCGCGAGGGCGCGGTGAGATCCAATATACGAGATCAATATAAGAGAAAAAACACTGTTGATTGGTTGGTTTGGACTAGCTGAAACCAACAAGTGAACGTGGTGATAATTTGCTTCAAGGAACTGGTCTTTCTTAGGCGCACGTTTGAAAGCTTGAGATGCTCGTCAGTCGTCGTCAGTTCAGCTCGATTTTTTACGTTTTGCCTAGTGGTTTTGTAGGGTTCAGAACCGAGCAAAGTCCACTCTTCGTGGCAGCCGGCAAGTCAAGTCAATTTAATTTGGAGTCAGCATGCGTGTTGCCGACTTGCCGTACTAGCAACTCACGCCTTGTTTAGTTCCACCCCAAATTCCAAAAAGTTGCTACAGTATCTGTCACATCGAATGTTTGTGGCCCGTGCATGGAGCATTAAATGTAGACGAAAAGAAAAACTAATTGCACAGTTTGATGGGAAATTGCGAGACGAACGTTTTGAGCCTAATTAGTCCATGTTTGAACACTATTTGCCAAATAAAAACGAAGGTGCTACAGTAACCCCAAAATCCAAATTTCGCGAACTAAACAAGGTGTCATTTTCTAGTGGCTGCCTCGATACCACTACTGCACATCTACCTGGAAAAGGGGCCAAGCAATGAGACCTTGCTTGTCGTTTGTAAGATTGTACAGTACGAGGGAGAATACAGCTGTTTATCCCTCAAATCTTGGGACTTTGATCGTGGCTACCATTAAGTTTAATTACAATCGCCAAAAGGCAAATACATGCAAGTTGCTAATACAAATTACTAGCATTCAAAGCTCAGTCAACTCAACGGTGTCTTTGTTATTTGATTACACTTTACTTGTGCTTTTCTCAACCATAATGTATATATATCTCCATTGCTTTTTGCTTAAAAAATATCAAATGGACTGAAGAAGAGTGCTAGTTGCCCAAAAAATACGGGCTTGGTATCTTCCATGAAGATCATGTGTGATCTTTGTACGTAGCTTCATTTGCATTGCGTCTTGATTCTTGAGATATATATCCATAAATGTGTACTCCCCCTTTTCTTTTCCTTTTTGTGTGCTTTCCGGTGAAGAAAGCTATAACCAGTTTAGAGATTTATCTTCCATGCTAAACGTACGTAGTGATCATGAATCTTCACTGCTTACTATACCTTCGTGTCGGTAAAGGATTTTCATGGACAAACTGTGGTCAACATGCACAGTGTGCTGACTTGTATATGTACGTGCCCAGTGTATAGACATGCATGGACTTAGTGGTTGATAAACCCAATCATTTAGACTAACATGTGCGCTTGATATGTTTACATCTTTTCTTAGGTCCTAGTGACGCAAGAAAAAACAAAACAAGGGAATGCATTCGAGCCATGACAAAGAGTGGATTGAATTGGATTTGTCCTATGACTTTATTCTTTATCAATTTGGTATGCAATCATGATCAAGTTGTAGAGATTTTCACAAATTTTCCAATTAGTCCAAGATCATCAAATTTGGAGTCCAGAGTTAAAAAAAATGACCAAAATACTGAAGCATCAATATATGCGCAAAATAATAATCTTCATCGATGATCCACTGGGAATTTATGTTAGTCTAGTGCAGTGTTTTTTACAGAATCTTGTAGAACACCTCACAACTATCCAACAAGTACAAAATACTGAGAAGAAAGTGTGTTGAAACTATACTGACCGTGAATGATCATGTGTTCAACGTTTTTGGGTTAGCAAACCATCCAGTGACCAAAAATGATGCAAAAAAAATACATTTGGTTGATCTCTTGTAAACTTAGTTGTGAGGACCTTGGCATCTTTGTTGCTCATTAGCAATGTCAATGACCCCTATGAGCTTTGTACGGAGCAACAATGACTTTTCGTGAAGGGGATGAGGAAACCCCTTGGTGGAGAAGCTCAATAGTGGATGGTGTTAAGGTGACCGAGAGAGAGTCGAGCAGCAATGGTTTGCCTAAGTGGCTTGCAACATTTGGCTTGGCTAAAATATCGTGACCTTGAGAATGCTTGGTGACCAGGGTCTTACCTCGGCAGAACTTCAACATGGATTAGGGGTTGCATTTTGGTAACCGGTGCCATAGGATGTATCGTCCTGTCTCATGAGTTTCTAACTCCTTTCTTGAACTATTTACTAACCACAATTGTGTTTTAGCAAATGTTTTGCTTGTGTGGGGCATCTTTTCTAGGGTAGCTTATTAGGCTAGTTGTTTTAGTCTATATATCCAGTACTGTTCAAGTTAGAACTTAGGCTAAGACGATCCAATTTACTTCTCCCCTCTTGGATCGGCCTCAAATCCTTACATTAGTTTTTTTTTTACTTTTGACATCTTTTAAATAACTACTGAGAGTCTATGTACGCAGTACTAGAATATTATAGGCCTTCCAACATTAGATTTTTCAGCTCTAAAATCTATGGTTCCAACTAGATTTATCTTTGTGTGTCCTCTGTTTGTTTTTAGAATACAACGTGCTAGAACTTGAAACTCTTTGTAAGCATATATTTTACAAAATAAAGTGTTTGACCTCACAATCAAGTTATCCGATAACTCCAATCCAGGGGTGGAGGGAGGGGATTAATGACCGCATTCGTACAATTTTCAGTGAATAGTTTTAAACTTGATCAAATTTTGAGAGAATTAGTGGCGTATTAGAATAAGGTCTTTTTTGGGGCTTTCTCCACTTCAACGACGTCTGATCAGCGAAAGACCAGTCATAGTATGTTATGTCATATCTGTTGGCTCCTTTCAGATCTTAGCCATTTGTGTGATTACCAGGGAAGCAATTGGTTGGATTTCAATGTGATGATTTGGACCTCTTATTTCAGCATATTATATGGCTACACCGTGTTCTAGTGGTTAATGAGTGTAATAAGCATGCGCTCCTAGGGTTTCTCCAGCTGATATTCTATTAGATCTCATTGTCAGCATCGGATGGCTTTTGCAGTCATCAAAGCTTTGTGTAGCGAGAGTGTTTGCAGATGTCTTTTTTTTTCTTTCTACCTCTTCAATGAGATTTTCAAGCTTCGGCGAGCGGAGATGATGATTGAGGGAATAATATACCACCAGTTTGGTCTTCGAGGTATGCTTATTTTTTTGGATGTTGTTTTGTGTTAAGTTGTCCATCTTTTATACTAGTTATTGTCTTTTAATACTAGTTATTATTTTTTATACTCTTCTTCTTAATATAATGATATGTAAATCTTTTGCGTATTCGAGAAAAAAAATATATCATATATGAGAATGTCCTTATCCAAAAAGTAGACAATATAAATACACAAAATCGTTGAGAAAAAGACGTGCAAACATTTTGCCTGATTGAGAAAAAAATACACAAAATCATAAATTAAATAATGTTTTCTTATTAATCGGCCTCTCTTCTTGTGGCATACGCATTTATTTAATTTAGACAATATAAGATAAGATAGTACTTCCTCTCCACACGTACGTAGGCTGTTTCCCCCTCGTACGTCTTGGAGCATACACATGTGGCTTGTAAGCATGCATCACGCATGGGTGCTGGCTGGCCTCTCGATCGGTCAGTTGATTTTCTTGAATTCCAGAAGCATCCACTGGTAGGTCCTAGGGATGCCCCAAACCAGCACCTGGTACTGCGCGGTGCCGCCGCTGGCGTCCGCCGCTGTGACCACCATCTTGTACCTCACGCCGCCCTGGTGAGGGTGGCGGACGCTGTTGGACACGCCGACGTACTTGAGTTTGGCGCCCCGGTTCAGGTTGTACACCAGTACGGCGAAGCGCCCGATCTGAGGCGGGTGGGTTCCGGCCGGCACGTCGGAGTCCGGCGGATCCACGAACCTCGCGGACGCCGCGCCTGCTGCGACGAGGACGACGACAGCGAGGGCGATGAAGCAGACCGCAGCGAGTGACCTCATTTTTTTTTCCAGCTAGCTTAGTAGCTAGCTGCAAAAAATTACTCGCGAGCGAGCGGTTCGTGTCTAAGTTTACGCCTGAGGTGATTTGTTGGCCTAGGGAGATGTCAATTTATAGAGCTCCGAAGAAGACATTTTCAAGGGAAAAAATACAGCTCCGAAGAGTGAAATGATGGTAAGGAAGGTTTGTGACTTTGTGTGCAGTGGTAACCTTAGTTTCTCACGAAAAAGGGCCGCGGGGTCTCGTAGGCGTACTTTGCTTGACACTGTATAAAGAGACATTTATGGCGTGAATTAGTTGCAACAAAGTTACATTTTTCTTTGGAAGAAGAAAAATATTATCCGTTCCCGTTCGTGCTAGCTATTTTATGACCTGGGCCAGGGCCGAATAGATCTATCGACAAGAGGGGGAGAAAAAAAGATCGAACTGCTGTACGTTACTTCGAAGAAAAGGGGAAAAGGGAAAATGGGAAAATGGGAGGAATGGGGGCACTAGTACTTTGAACCTGAAAAACAATGTTAGGCTCAAATTTAACTCTAAAGATTACGTGGGGTTCTTGAAAGGAAGCCGTGTCCACATCACTCCAATTTTTTTCAGCCGTCGGATTTTCGAACGTGCGGCCCAGATCGCTTGGAGCGGGTTCCACCAAGATAGGCTTCTCCTGCTTCTCGTGCACTTCTCTGGCTTCTCCCGCTTCTCTTCCGAATCTAGTGAACCAAATATATACCGCTGCTCCCGCTTCTCCCCCCTCCTCTCTCTCCTCCTCGCTCTCTGATGCGGCCATGGGCGACGGCGGCTGCTGCGAGCGGTCCGCGGCGCGGCGCCCATCCTCCTCCTCCACCACCTCGTTCTCCTCCTACTCCTCCTCCGCCCTCCCTCCCCTTCCTCTCCCTCTCTCCCCTTCCCTCTCGAGGCGGCGGCGGGCGCGAGGCGACGGCGCCCCCTGCGGGCGTCGCGCTGGCGCGGGTGGGGCCCGGTGTCCCCCTTCCTTTCCCCCATTCTCCGCACGGCCTCCTCAATGCCTCCTCCAGTCGGGGAGAGTGCGCTCCTTTGGTCGGCGAAATCCTAGGTACCATGCCGGACGGGCCAAACCCTAAACTGCAGCGTGCGCTCTCTCCCCTTCTCCCTCCCCTTCCCTAAACTCCCTCTCCTCACTGTGGAGATCTTGCACCCCCCCCTCTTGGCTACAGCGAGCAAGCTCGCTCAGCATCCATCGTCTCCTGTTGTTCTTCTATGCAGAACTGATATCCTTCCCTGTACATTGATGATTAATTGTTTCATTCATGTTATTTACTGAGGCTTGGGGATTGTGCAATGATGATCCTTGTAAGATTGAGACAATGGAATTGTGTAGTGATGATTATATAATTATTTCATTCTTCCATGAATCTTGCTATTTTCGGTGCCTTTGTGGTAACAATGTCGTTATATTAGTTACACATTTTATCCATTTATTAATCAGCATACATCCATTGTCAATAATGTCTTTGCTTCATACGATTTATCGGTTGTTCTATTACTGAGCACACACCCCATTGCCAATGATGTATTACCAGTTGGGCTTACTAGCAAGGCAATTTATTACTCGGTGAACTGCAATATCAGGGTCATTTTTTCTTTAAATTCCTAGGCTATACCTATGCATTGCTTTCGGTATGTGATTCATATTCTATGGTTCTTACAATAATTGGTACCATTACTTACCTCTTTGGGATTTTTGTGTGTGTTGTAAACTGCTTTGCTCCATTTCATGATTGGTTGAGTATGCAGCTTAGGGACTTGTCGGATACCATAAAAAGGGTACCCTAAGTAAGAACCGAAAAAATTGCTTAGACCTTGTAAATATCAAAGCCAAGAGACAACGCCGAGGCCTCGGCCGATTCTCCGATTCGCCCGAGGCCCACGCCGCAAGGCCTCGGACGAGGTACCAACTCTCCGCCTCGCCCGAGGCCCCTCCCGAAAGGCCTCGGCCGAGGTACCGATTCTCCGTCTCGCTCGAGGCCGGCTCGGCATCAGCCCCGCCGTAGCTTTGACCGACCTCTCTGACGGAGCGTCACATCCAACTGAAGCACTCAACCACTCCCACAACGTCAGCCGCGCGACAGCACAGTACAGCAGAGTAACCGACGAGATGGAAGTCACATCAGTGCCCTGCCATCCGGGACAGGATGGGGCGGGGGTCACCAGCCGCTGTGCTTGGCACTGTGCCCACGATTGACACCCATGCGGCACTGTGCTACCTAACCCCACCTGCTCCGATGACAGCACGGCGTGGAGAGTCATGTCCGGGCCCCTGTAGCCTCGGAATCAGCATAAATAACCAACTGCTCCCTCCGAGCCTCGGCTATTCGCTTTTCGGGCTCCTGTAGCATCGGGACTCGCGCCCGCCGAGCCCCCCATGACGGCCCAGCCTCTGCATTGACTAGGCCTCGGCTCTCCACGTCGTCAGCACTCTGGGAATGGCACGTCGCCTGCAGAATATGCCATACCTGCGCGTCGCTGCAGGAGCTCCCACGTCGCGCACATGGCTGAGCTCCTATGTCCTCGGATTCAGCACACCCACGCCATCGCATCAACCTAGCCTCGGCGCTCCGCTCCGGTCAAACACACAGTAACTAGCATGCCTCCAACAGAAGAAGGCACGCCTGCCGCCACAGGAGCTCCCACGACGCACAGGATCAGGCATGGCCGGCGCATCGCTCCAGTGCACGAAGGACAAGACCGCTCCACCGACCACACTGCCACAGTGACAAGCTGCAGGGCTCGGCTACCCGCCTCCGCTCACAAAACACCACGTAGCTAGCACATGTACCGCCCCTGTGCCTCCCTTCGGTTATAAAAGGGAGTGACCGGGGCCGCTCCTGGGGAGAGGGGAGAACACCCACGAACGCACTCAGACACGCACTAAGGCACTCACAGAGACATAGCTCAAATACACACACGCGCAAGCAATGAGCAACACTCTGTAATACGCACGCTCCCTCACTGCGAGAAATCAACATCTTGAACAACCCGCGCCGCTCCACGCAGAGATCTGGGACTACCTCCCTCTCTCGCCCGCTTGTAAACCCCTACTACAAGCACCTCGGTGCAAGGAATACAAGATCGCTCTCTCAGACTGGACGTAGGGCACCTATTGCCTGAACCAGTATAAACCTTGTGTCTCTTTGCATCACCATCCGGGATTAGGGACACGCAATACATTTTTCACTAGTCGGTTGAGGGCCCCCGGTCCAAAACACCAACAGGACTAGGCGCCGAAACAAATCGGTATTCCCTAGGTCCATTGAAATGATATCTTACATGTGCTCTTCTATGCGTTTTTTAGGCTTTAGGCTTCTATGCGTTTTTAGGCTTTAGGCATTGCTGGCAGCCGGTGATCGACGATTGCCGATTAGCGTCAACAGCAAAAGTGCACAAGCAACAGGGTACGCAAAACTAATTTAGATTCTAGACTTTTAGGTCATTGAATTATTAGCGCTAGATTATTTTATTACAACTGTTAAATTTTGTTGTGCAGAATCGGATTATTTGAATGGTAAACTGAAACATTATATAGTATTTCAGTTCTACATTAGAGCTACACTTTTGTAACCCTTTTGCAAATTTATTTTCTCATCTTCCCTCGGAAATTGTTTCCAAATAGTCGACCTATCCTGCGCTGCCCTCCTATGTAGGAAAAAATGTTGCTATTCAAGCTTTATGCTTTTGTGTAGTTGTGCTTACTAAACCACCATATTATTAGTTAATAGCCTAATATTGCGGCCACTGGTATCTCCACATGATAGCGACACTGCCCTTTTTGTACTTGCTCACAAACCTTTATACTGGCTCTCATGTCTGCAGTAAGCTACAAAACATGGTATTTATTTTTTCATGCACCTGACTGATATGGAAAATGCCCTTTTCCAACTACTTCTATTATAATGTCTATTGTCGATAGGTCTTTTTTTTTTTTGCCCTACACTACTGCTCCAAGTGTCTCTGTTGTGTTCCCATATGAGGTTTTCCGACGAGTCACTGTAAGAGCCATCTCAATATTAAAGGTATCCCCCCTCCTTGCTTTGGTTCTTTTGTTTTTTTCCCTAGATTGGGCCACACTCACTGCTATTATGTTGCAATTGGATTCTCGTTTTGATTGAATCCTGAGGCATGCCTACAGTTTAGGTTCCTGCTAGCTAGAGTTTTGGTTGACACAGGTGCTGATAGGTTTTTTGAATTTTTTTTGTGCAGCTTGATTGATCAGGGCCCTTCACATGTGTAAGGGATTATGACGTCTAAGAGAGTGGTGAATTAGGCAACTTAAAATTTTACTTCTAACTATGGCCTCTAAATCCACCGAGTCAAAACATATGCAATAAAGTAACTATCTAAATGTGCAACTACGATTTTGCTAGGTATATTGCTATCTCTACCGTAAAAGAGTTATGCACTCTAGGTTTCAATCCTATCAACTAGATTATCAAACTAAGCTAGGAAAGTAAGCACACAATTAAGGTACATAATATAAATGCGGAAGGCAAATATAAGGTAGAGATGCAAACTCCCGTCTACGACTCCGGTATTTTTACCGAGGTATCGAGAAGCGCTCAAGCTTCCCCTATTCCTCGTTGGATACTATAACATAACATACTTTTGCCGACACTTTCTATTGTATGCAAATGGCACCTTTGCCGACAGATAACCTCCCGCTAAAAGTTTTGCCGACAGTTTAGAAACAGTCGCGCTAGAAGCCATCGGCGAAACTTTTACCGACACTTAACAGAATCTCCGACACTTTATGTGTAGGCAAACGGTCTACCTACGCCGACAGTTGAAACCTTTGCCGACAGTTAACCATTTGCCGACAGTTAAGACCTACGCCGACAGTTAAGACCTTTCCCGACAGTTTGTATGTTGGCCAAACCATTTTCAAAGTATTTTACAAACCATACCCTACCAAAAAAACTGTCGACAAAACTGCATAGATATAATTACAATTAAAATAATTTGACAAATCCACTTTCGCTCATATAAAAGGCATCACATTGAACAAATTCACTTAATTTTTGTATAAATAATATATTAGATCTTCCATACATACACCAACTTGATATATATATAGAGAGCAGGTCAAGTGATGATCATAGTACATAGAGCCATATAGGTCCAAGATATAGATTAGTCAGTTACAGACATGTATAGACATACTACAAGTCTTGTATTAATTGGTTATGACTAAAGCTAAGAGATCAATAGATCAGGACTTGGGCACAAAAGTGACATTCAATAGTTCCATGTCTTTGTCCTACACGATAGTAGGTGCAAATAAAAGAACAAAACTGCAATTCATGTCGTCCTGCAGCAATTCTCGGATACTTGTTGCCACTCCAAAATACTTGAACACCAGCTTCGTGCACATATGGTTGCTGCCACTCCAAAATACTTGAACACCAGCTTCGTGCACATATGGTTGCTGCCACTCTACAAAACATGTAACAGTTGTTTGATCGAACCTCAAAAGGTTGCCAATCCAAAATACTTGCAACACCACATAGTACCTAACATGAAAAAAATGTGAAATATCGGTGCAATGTGCTCTGTACATTAATTCTTGCAACGTTGATCTATTTCAGTCAATCATAGAACATCATTTTTCATTTATATTGGAGAAGCAAATACACGAGGTCTTGTGGGGCTGCTTGTTTTACGAAAGAACGCCAAAACTGAAATGCAGCATCTATGCATGAGTTCCCTTGATTATTTTATGTTCAACTATGCGATACAGAAACGAATGAGGCTCTTCACTCCATCACTTGCTATTTTCAGCATTCCTGAGGAATAACCCAACACCATTTTCTCCTAATATAAAATGCACAATATACAAAATTCCAAAATAATCAGAATATTTAGAACCAGAGGAAACTGAGAACCATCCACCATTCAACGAACACACTATGAAAATTAGAGCAGCCAGCCACTTGAGTAGACAATAGGCGCGGAAAATAGATGACAGATTTCATAAATGTTCATCAGAATACAAGAGAAGATAGAGATAAGTACTCACAATAGCATTCTGTGCATCCTCACTAAAACCTGTCTTGCTGCTGCTGTGGGTTTCCTTGAATAGATCAATCACTGTCGGGGATGCATCCTTATATTTAGTTTGCTTCTGAAATTACCAAAGAAACCACAAATTAAACAAGTGACAGATAATACTAATAACAAAAATAGACTAACTGGACCATGCAATTCAAAATTTTGGTATATAGTTTATTAGTGCCCAAGTGGCACCTGAAGACTCTAGCTCACCACCTTGACTGTTTGCACTCAGAACACTATGTTTTTCAAACATTAAGCCTCATTCAATACAAATTTTTCAAACATACTGTGAATTCTAACACATACTGCATTTATACAAAACACCTGATATTGCGGTTTTACTTGATTTAGATGCAGATGTTGAAGTAAGCCAACAAGTCATATTATTCACCATTTCACTATTTTATTGAACCATAAATACAGCAGAGGAAGCTCCAACTGTAGAGAATTTTTAATAAAAAGAGTAGAAACTGTACAGAGACATAAAACAAAAGGAAAAAGCGCATGTACACCTGTACAGAACCTGGAAAAAAAGAGAGAAGGGGACTAGAGAGAGAGAGAGAATCAGTTGTAATGAATCATCAATTGGTTATAATGAATCTTCGATCAGACACCATATATATAAATCAAACAGCCAATGAACCAGCAAAAAAATAGCCTAATAAAAATCTGTACATTTGGTATTGTTATCAGTGCTTATGCCATTTAACTTTAACCAAAAAAAACTAACTCTAACATGGTGGCAACAGCCTGATTTCAAAATTGTTTCTGTAAAAGGCTTAGGCGCTCTATCTATGAAATGCAAAGCCTAAACTATCCACACTTCAATACAGAAACATTTGGAAACAATAACACATTTTTCATTTATGAAACAAATCAGAATAGTAGCTTACCACCGCATAGCAATGAGCAATGTAGGACCGAGATCCAGTCTTCTGCTGTAACTTTACTTGCTCACGGCTATCTTTGGCTTTCAGACACTTCTCCTGTAGAAAGGCAACCATTAGCGGGACAGGTGGCCCATTTACTTTAAGTAAACATTTGCGAGCGATATTTAGAAAGGATACCTTGTGCTTTGGGTTAGACCACATCTCCACGAGTTTTTTCCACTGCTCGTCACTCATAATGGCCAATGGTGAAGTTGTTCTCACCTGGTTGGCTGGTACATCATTGAAGTATTTCTTCTTCAACATGTACCTCATATTCCGCTGTCCTTTTTTGAGTATATCTGAGCATGCATCTTTCACTGGCTGACTTTTCATATCAATGTCAAATTGCATCTACACATGAGCATGAGCATATGGTTAAAAGGCACTCAAAGCATATAATTATGGTATTAGTAACATAACATGCATATTCAAGAGGTAATTATGCTATGTGAGAAAACATAACACCAGCAGATTATTTAACAAGTCAGCCTCATTTTTTTCAATGGGATAGAACCATTTCAATTTGGATTGTGATTTTTGGTGTGGCTAGGACAATTTAACTGAATTTTTAGCTAAAGAAAATGCTATGAACCTGTACACTAGCATGCACCTAGACACCGGATTGTTTCCAGCAGCGGCTGCTACAGTGCTGCTTGTGCACCATCCTTTCCTACTCTGGTCTACAGCATCTTGCAGCGAGACATATGATTCTTGAACTGTAAATGAAAACAGATAGGTATGCATGACCTTTATTCAGGTTTGTGATGGAACACTTGATGTGTTGTCATTCTCAACCAGAGCACATTTACAATTAATATATTAGTCGCTGCAACACACCTATACAGGCTGCAAAAAAGAGAGAGAGAACTCGACTGTGCTACCGCTGCATGCTGCAGCTGCAGAGCATCAGCCAGCCACTAATGCAGATCACACACTAACTAATGCAAAACAGCAGCAGCTACAGCCAGCCACTGCTCAAGAGGGAAACACTACATTCATGTAATACCATACTTGAAATAGTCACTGTAAACAGGTTGTTCGTAGTTCAGTCCCATGCCATGGCAATACCACTACTCAAGAGGGAAACACTACATTCATGTAAAGTATGCACATTCTGTTTCCATTCAACAGAAGAAAACACAGGTTGGGCACTTACACCAATTTTTCCCATGTAGTCATCCAAAAGCTCCTTAACGGCATCATCTTCATAATCCTTCCAGCGGGTGAAGATTGGGATATGGTCCCGAATAAAAATACCAGCCTCTGATGCTAGCTTTGCAGCTTCCATAGGTGCCTCTGGCCGCTTGTTTCCTTGAGCAATGTGCACTTTGATCTTGTTGTTTAATCCTCTAGAAATCCTATCCAAGCCTTTGCCCATACGTCTTTTGTCCATACATGGATCTATCATAACATTTGGAAAATAATTAGTGAAAATCATAGACCCATTAACACAAATATGCACATCATTAATCATGGAGATAAGAGGTAGAATAACTTACCTTGATGAGTCATGTTGTGGTTGTCAGATTGGGTATGAGCATTGGCAACAATCAACTCTTGATCTGTGGCACCATCTTGTGGGTCTCTAGCTAGAACATGGCAAATTTCAGTAGGTTCAGATAATTCCCTAGTCCTCTTCCCAGTGCCACATTGGGGACATTATTAGTATTCGCAAAAATCACATGAGATGCCAGCTGAAAAGATATTGAACTCGTACTGAAATAGCTATCATTTCTTGTACATCTAAGTAATCTATCTGGAATTTTGTTTGATTAATCTATTGTCCAATAGCATGAATTAATATTTTGCTAGGGCCTATGTGGATTATGGTAAATTTGTAGATCTAGATTGAATGAAAGTTTGGCAAGAGAAGCAACACAAACCTTGAATCTTTCAGTCATTTCTCACATTTGTCTCGTCCTTTCTGCCACCAAGAAAAAAGTACAAGAAAATTAGTTGTCCCCAAACCCTAGCACACAGGGGAATGAGATGGAAGGAAAGGGATGCCTCCCCAAACCCTAGCACACAGGGGAATGGGATGGAAGGAAAGGGATGCCGAGGTGATGCACCTGGATGCGGAAGGGAACAGGGATGCAGCGGTGGTAGCCCTCTTGCTCGCCGGCGGTGGCCTAGGGCTGCGGCGGCGTCCGTCCCTTGGGCGGCGGGGTCTAGGGCCGTAGCCTGGGGTGGCGGGATGCTGGGGCGACGGCGGGCTGGGGCGGCGGGGAGCTGGGGCGACAGAGGGCTGCGGCGCCGTCCGTCCCTTGGGCGGCGGGGTCTGGGGCCGTGGCCTGGGGTGGCGGGATGCTGGGGCGACGGCGGGCTAGGGCGGCGATGGTTGGGTGGCGCTGTCTCCGTCGGCCTTCGACGGCGTGCGGCTGGAGCGACGACTTGGGCGGCGTACGTGCGTGGGGTTGGAGCGGTGGCTTCGGCGGCATGACTGTGTGGGTGGACGGGAGGATTGGGCCTGGTGACTGTTTATTTTATTGGGCTCAATATTTTGCTCCCGCGCCGGCTTCTATTTGGTTCAACCTCCCGCGCAGGTATTTCACATCTATTCGGTTGTGCGCCTACCCCTTTTAACGACACTTTGAGAGTGGATGCATTAGGCTACGACGACAATTTTTTTTTTGTCTATAACTTTCGCCGACACTTTTATCGTTGGGAGGAGAAACGCCGACATATAAGGTGTAGTCTTAGGGTACTTTTGGCGACAGTTTATATGACGCTAAAAGATGACACAATTGCCAACATAAAATGTGTTGTTCAAACCCTAGATTTACCAACACCTAAGTGTAGGGAAAAGTGGATCATGGTGTAGTGGGAGCCCCTCGCAAGGGCCAAGCTCCCGGTCAGATAACTCCGTGGATAGCCCGAGGCTTTTCCCACGCGTAAATGGGTCTCCGGTATGCCTTCCGGCAAGCCTCTCCCGGACCGCTCCTTGTCGTCTTCACTATCAAGCTTCCGGTCAAAACGCTGCGGGCCTTGATCCCTTTGGTACACGGTGGCGGCAACCCAATTTTTTATAATTTAGCCCTTTTTTGAAGAAAATTTATGTTTGGCTCTCTGGAAGAAGTAAACTCATCTTTGAACCCTGGGGTCGGCGCCAGGACTCATGGCGCCGAGGTAACACGTCTCGACGCCACATATCTTGGCTCTGAGGTGTCTGGCCGAGATCCTAGGTGACGTCGACGTGGCCGGTATCTTGACGCCGACCTCGGCGTGGCGCCGAACTGGCCCATGCTGCTTTTCCGCAGGCGGACACTGTGGCTTATAAGACTGCAGCCTTTTTCTCATCTCTCAAATCACTAGAGTGCATCAGTGCATGGCTACACAAAAAAGACTGTTGCTGCTTGTGATGGCTGGTTTGGTGTACGGATGTAAAAAATATTCGAGACAAATATTCAAGTAGAAACATCCGTACCTGTTATTTTTTTTCCAGGTACTGACAGGTGGTGAAGATGCATATTTTATAGCTTGTGATGGCTGGTTTGGTGTAGCAGATGGAATTGGTCAGTGGTCCTTTGAAGGTAAACAATATCTTCTCCACTGCAGCTCTGTGTTCTAATCTTGTGGATGCTGTGAACTGTAGCTAGCAGTCCATCCATAGCATGTTAATTTACACTCCATATCTTGTTTCTTAAGTTTTACTGTACTTGCTTTTGAGAAATGCTTCTTTGCTGACATTCATTGCCATTCTCAGATGCTTTACAATCACGCAAATATATTCCATGTCCGAGTATGATACATTGATATAGTCTATTTGCATGTTACAACTATAAGACCTTTTGAAATCGCTCCTAATAGTACGCAGAGTATTTGCTTGAAAATTAGAATTTAAGATTTGGGAAACTCAAACATCACGCAATAAGTGCAGGATAATGCGGTGCAGTAGACTTTGATGTGCTGTCGTAAAAGCTCAAGAACACAGAGCTAGGTAATCCTAGGTGCTTTGCCTCCTCCTGCAGCTGCAACTGCAACCACAGTGGGACTTTCACTAAATATATATTAAAAAAATATTAATATTTATGATATATAATTAGTATCATTGGATAGATATTTGAATCTATTCCCTCCGTCCTAAAAAGAATGTAATTCTCGCTTCCCGAGAAATCAACCGATTTCGACTTTGACCAATGTTCTAAAAAAAATACTAACATTTACAATATAAAATAAGTATTAATAGATTAATGACGAAATATGTTTTCATAATAAATCTTAGTTGAGACATAAATGTTAATACTTATCACTATAAACTTGGTCAAACTTTAATAAATTTGACCAGCACGATTTTTATAATTGTATTTTTTTTATGGAGGGAGTAGTTTTTTAAACACATCACACGCCACATGAGCCTGACCAAGCCTCTCCGCTGCCGCTGCCGACGCCAGCCATGCACTGATGCAAATAGGCTGTAGCAGCAGTACCTGGAAAAAAATAACAGGTACGGATGTTTCTACTTGAATATTTGTCTCAAATATTTTTTACATCCGTACACCAAACAAGTCATCACAAGCAGCAACAGTCTTTTTTCTGTAGCCATGCATTGATGCACTTCAGGGATTCGAGAGAGGAGAAAAAGACTGCAACAGCAGTCTTTTTCCTGTAGCCCAGCCGCCTGCGCAAAAGCAGCATGGGCCAGCTCGGCGTCAGAGTGCGTGGCGCCGAGGTTGGCGCCATCGGCGCAAGATCTGTGGCGCCGACCACGGCGCCAAGATCTGTGGCGTTGATCTCGGCGCCATATATTATGGTGCCGAGGTACCGTCACGTTAACGCTACCTAGGATCTCGGCCAGGCACCTCGGAGCCAAGATCTATGGCGCCGAGATGTGTTACCTCGGCGCCATGAGTCTCTGGCGCCGACTTCCATGGTCCAAAAATGAGTTTACTTCTCCCAGAGGGCCAAACGTAAACTTTCTTCAAAAAAGTGGCTAAATTATAAAAAAATTGATGGTGGCTACACCACAAACGCGGTTGGTGTGATCTCGCAATACTACAAGCCTCTTCGAGTACAACAATGGTGCGCATAAGCACCGAGTGGTAAGAGGTGTGCAAACCTCACTAAACACTAAGCCTAAACTTAGAGCAAGCGTATATGCGGTGGTCTAACCTAAGCACTTCATAAAAGCACCTACGCTAATTACCAAATGGATCACTAAGTACTTAACATGTGGGGAGACTAGAATGGAGTACCAACTCTTTGGTATGTTCCTCAGCTCCCTCACCCTTCAAATGGCCGCTTGGGGTCCCTTTTATAGCCCTCAAGTGGAGAACTAGACGTTGTGGGCGAGATGCACTTTTCTGCGCGGTCACCGGACATGGCGGTGCCAGCCACGTGGACTAGCCGTTAGACATTGACAATCTGACCGTTGAGCTATTGGCCACCGCCATAGGAGGGGCGGTGCACCACCATACCATGTCCGGTGCCCCAATGCACGTTTTGGCTGCCATCTGGAAAAATAGGGCGGTGCCACCATCATGGTCATCGGACAGTTCGGTGCCTTTGGACTGCTCCAACTTGATTTTCACCTGTTCAAGGCTGTAGAGCTTTTCATTGGCTTTCAAAAAGTCCAAGATCATCGAAATCGGAGTTCGGGGCTAAAAGTTATGTCCAAAAAACGAAAGTATGTCGCGTGCTAAAAAATAGGGCGGTGCCCTATCCGGTGCACACAGTGTTGTCCGGTGCACACAGTGTTGTCCGGTGCCAGCTGTCCGATGCACACAGTGCTATCCGGTGCCAGCTGCAGCTTTGCCCTTTATTCATTTCTTCGCAATCCTTCTTCCGGGCTTCTTCATCTTTAGTCTTGGACTCCTAGCTTCACTTCTAGGTTGATCACACATCATCTAGCGTCTTTCTTTAAGTGTTGATCTTATTCTTCACGTTCCAATCTTGGTCCAATCCGCCTTTGCATCCTATTGCACTATAAAATAAACACTTGCAAGTACGTTAGTCCAACTTAGTCATGTTGATCATCAAATACCAAAATCCAAACTAAATAGACCGATGTCCATTTTCCTTACAACATGGTTCAGCATGGTGCCTGCTTTTTTGTGTGCCCTTTCAGATTCTGCAGGTCCTTTTCCTTTTCCTTGTGCTTTTTTGGTGTTCTTGTTTAATATAAGTAAGTTCATAATAAGGTGATAATCTTAACATATGCAACACTTTTTCCTTGGCTAATTACATTGTGTAATACATCATGCTAAAATTGCATTGTCGTTGTTTGCCTCATGTTACAATTAAGTTCCCATACTTCCATACTCTACGTACCTCAAATGTGTGTGTGCCTTATTCCATTCATAGACTTAGGTGCTTAGGTTCTTCAGTGAGGCTGATGCAAATTTGCTGCTCTTAATAAAGATTTCTTGGTTTACCTTTCCTGCTTCATAGAAATAGAAATTTATACCATGTGTGCATGTGATATTTCATAGCGATAATTATTTTAACAATCATCGGTTCATTTCTGTTGTGGAACAAGTTAACCTAGAGGATGAAAATCTTTTACAGCTACATTAGTTTGTGTACATATACTGGTATACCCACTCCCATTCTTTTCCCTATGCAACTTATATTAGTCAGGTCCACCATTCAGTGGTTGAGTTCATTTGGGAATTAACGTTTCTGTTGAGATTTTGGGCACCATTGACAAACCTTGTCTGCTGCTTAGTAACGTTTATTTAGTATGTCATTTGGAACAGTCTATTGCCATATCTTTCTCCAGTATGCATTAAGTTAATTTCGGGTGCTCAAGTGAAACTCAGTGATCTTTGGTGCATTTATTTGCGCAGCAAGCACGAAAAAAGGGTGTGTTCATAGTTTCGATACAACGTACAATCTTCAGGTCTTATCTTTTTCTAAGAGATGACTAAAGTTTCTTTTCTGCATATTGCACGTTCTCCCTATGTTTTAGGTAAATATAGCAGTTTATGTTCATAACTAATTGCTGCTCGTGGCGTTGAATGGGTTAGGTTTTAATTTTCTTATCCTTCTGCCGCATAGTTCAGTACATGTCATTCCTTCTGAATGAGATCAAGCTTCTGAAGTATGTGCACAGGCATGATCATGCTGACAAGTACCGCCTTTTGTGTCTGTATGATTACTTCTGCTACTGGGTTAATTTGAGCCTTTACTCTTGATAGATCCTTTTTTAGTGTTATTTAATTTTGATCAAGTGTTGGATTTATGTACACCTCCACTGCTTGCTCTGCACTGTTCAGGTTGTCCATCTACCATTACCCAGCTCTGGTCGTTGTCTATCTGGCATTGGCTTGGAGCACAATGGCCCCAGCTGCAGCGCCCAGACCTCCATCGCCTGCTCCACTCCATCCGAAAAAAGGGAGGGTGCTTTTCTCCGTGGACGCATCGCCTGAGCTATCCCCGTCCTCGCTTTTTTCCCTCTTTTCCTCTTCGGTGCGTGCTCTCCTTGCAAGCACCGAGGCTT